TACAGCATGGCAGCAATTTGAATACTCATTAAAAATTTTATGAAGAGAGTGGAAGCAGAAATTACTATATTTCGGTGGGAGCAGAGCGTAGGAAGTCAATAAAGACCTTGGGGAAGATGTCTTTTTTTAATGTTAGAAATAAAATAAATTGCAGTGATTTATAGTTCCATTTCTAGATTGTGGTGATAAAATTATTAACATTGCTGCTATAAGGCAAATGTATTTAATAAATATTTCTGTTCTCAGTATGGGAAGGAACAGGATGGTAAATTATATCACAAGAGGAAGATGGACCAGCAGTCCATTTATTCCTGAAAAATGTTAATGTAATGAAGATGTTAAATAATATCTTTCAGGAATACATATTCTTAAATCAACAGGTCCATTCTCATTCAAGAACTTTGAAGGTGCTAATAGAGACATTCTGTGGCCCACAAATATTAATTTCAGAGTAGAGGGGAAATGACAGAGGGCTGTAGAGGTTCTGATCTTGTGTCAGGGTCCAGACAGGTGAAGGAAAAAATATTGGCTGCTTAGTCTGATATCAACCACAGGTCAAAAGTGAAAACTGTATGAAGTTAAATGTTACAGTTGACTGAATCCATAAATTACTAACCATAGGAGTTACTGAATGACAGGATATAAATTTTATGGAAAAAAAGACAGCAAACTTTATTTCATTTGCTAAGACAATTGCAAGTTTATTTGATGAAGTTAATTCTGTAAAACATGTGATAGTGTGATGACTAACTGAGGATCACCTGCTAAGATCTCATGGGAGCTAGCAGACATAAAATGTACTAACTCAAAAAGTAAACTGTCAGTGGGAAACCATTTTCATGTCTGCTTGGATACCACTGCACATCATCGATCATCTGAAAGTAAATGGAGGACCATCACTGGTCATATTTTGTGAATGCCATTCAAACCAAATGCAGACTTAACACAGCTCAGGAGAGAGCTGGGCAAGGAGCAATTAAGAATGAAAGTTGTGGTTACACAATAAGGAACTTGTCAGATAAAGCCATGATTATAGAATCATAGAGTTGCTCAGATTGGAAAAGACCTGTAAGATCAAGTCCAACTGTTAACATTGCCAAGTCCATCACTAAACCATCTCCCTAAGCACTGCATCTGCACATCTTTTAAATACCTCCAGGGATGGTGACTCAACCACTTCCCTGGGCAGCCTGTTTCAGTGCTTGACAACACTTTTGGTGAAGAAATTTTTCCTGATAGCCAATCTAAACTTTCCCTGGCACAACTTGAGGTCGTTTCCTGTTGTCCAGTTGCTTGTTACTTCGGAGAAGAGACTAACCCCACCTTGCTACCACCTCCTTTCAGGTAACTATAGGGAGTGATAAGGTCTCCCCTGAGGCTCCTTTTCTCCAGGCTAAACGACCTCAGTTCCCTCAGCCGTTCCTCGTAAGACTTGTGCTCCAGACCCTTCACCAGCTCCATTGTCCTTCTCTGGACACGCTCCAGCACCTCAATGTCTTTCTTGTAGCGAGGGGCCCAATAATGAGCACAGTATTTGAGGTGCAGGCTCACTAGTGTCAAGTACAGGGGGACGGTCACTTCCATAGTCCTGCTGGCCACACTGTTTCTGATACAAGCCAGGGTGCTATTGGCTATTCTGATAACAAGCCAGGATTCTGTTGGCCGCCTTGGAACTGCAGGCCAGGCAGAGACCCTCCTCCCCTCGTCTGGATGCACCTTGGGCAGCAGGAAGTCCAGGAAGGGGAAAAGAAAAATTATTTTAAAAATCACTGCACTGGCCAGAAAGTACCTGGAAACTTCATCTATCTTTATTGACAATTTCCCATCTGAGTTCCACAACCTGGGGCCAGTGCAGTCAATGGTGCCATCAGGAAGCCATGTGACCTTTCTGGTTCTGTTCATGAAAGGATTAGAAGTCAGTGTACCCTAAGGATGCCTACCTGATCTCCCTGTGTAATGAAAAGGGAAAAGGGGGTAGTATATTTTTTTACTGTGTAGGGATAAGTTAGTTTTGCCTCTATAGACAGCATTAAGAACAATAAAGGAGCAGAATTAGGAGATTTAGCTTTCCAATTTCAGAAGGAGCACTGGGCTGTGGGAGAGGGTGCACTATCCCATGTATTAGAGATGATTCCTTGCAGAGAGAGTCTTAAAAAACCTTATCAACCAGTCTGAATGACGGCTGAGATTTACTTTTACTTGCAAGTACTTTCACAGGAAATGCTGTTTTCTACACCTCTCTGCAGTGCGATGCAGAAGGGTACAAAGAGAACCACTGTCTGAAAGCTCATCCTTGACAAGTTATGGTTGTCAATAAAGCAGAAATTGTGAACAGTAAGAGAGATTAGCTGTTGAAAAAGATGATCGTAGAAAATGGCAGAATGATGTCCTCAAGTCAATTGATTGTTTGCCTTTCTGGAGGGTATGCAGCAAACACAGATGACTTGACTTCCTCCAGTTTTTCAATAGCATGATGTGCACAGACCATCAGGTGATGTGATCTAATGGTCCCTTCAGTCTGAAAATGAACACCACTTCAAGTATTATCCTAGTTTCAGCTTAGCAGGCCGCATCTGGAATATTGTGTCCAGTTCTGGGCCCCTCAGTTCAAGAAGGACAAGGAACTGCTTGAGAGAGTCCAGTGCAGGGCCACAAAGATGATTAAGGGAGTGGAGCATCTCCCTTATGAGGAAAGGCTGGCGGAGCTGGGTCTCTTTAGCTTGGAGAAGAGGAGACTGAGGGGGGACCTCATTAATGTTTATAAATATGTAAAGGGTGACTGTCATGAGGATGGAACAGGGCTCTTCTTTGTGACATCCAATGATAGGACAAGGGGAAATGGATATAAGCTGGAACACAGGAGGTTCTGCTTAAACAAGAGGAAGAACTTCTTCACAGTAAGGGTAACAGAACACTGGAACAGGCTGCCCAGAGAGGTTGTGGAGTCTCCTTCTCTGGAGATATTCAAAACCCCCCTGGACGCATTCTTGTGTGATCTGATCTAGGTGGTCCTGCTCTAGCAGGGGGATTGGACTAGATGATCCTTTGAGGTCCCTTCCAATCCCTAACGTTCTGTGATTCTGTGTATTAAGAACATTTCATTTTTCTAGCAGTATCATGTATCTCAGAATAAGTCACGTATCTTTTATTTTGAGTGAAACAAGCTGAAATTCATGCTATTTTATCAGTGTGTATTCAGTATAATTCGTAAAAAAACCCAGTATAACAAGCTTAACAGAA